CTACTACTACTACTACTACTACTACTACTACTACTACTACTACTACTACTACTACTACTACTACTACTACTAACTACTACTACTACTAGTACTACTACTACTACTACTACTACTACTATTACTACTACTAACTACTACGACTACTACTATACTACTACTACTACTACTACTACTACTACTACTACTACTACTACTACTACTACTACTACTACTACTACTACTACTACTACTAGTACTAGTACTAGTACTAGTACTAGTACTACTACTACTACTACTACTACTACTACTACTACTACTACTGCTGCTGCTGCTGCTGCTGCTGCTGCTGCTGCTGCTGCTGCTGCTGCTACCACTATTATGATCATTGGGCGCGAGTGGGCGGGCGCGCAGGGGGGGGGCCCTCGCCGAGGAGCACCGCTGCCCGGCGGATATCGGCAACGCGCCCCGCGACCGCTGCGGCCCTGGCCCCGTCGACGGGCGCCCGCGCCCAGGCGGAGCTCGCGCTGGCGGCGGCGGCCGAGGGGCCAGCGCGCCGGCGGCGTCGGCGAGGGGGCTCGCGCGACGCTCGACAGCGAAGAGCAGGCGCTGAGGAGGAAGCGGCGGAGGGCCGGGAAGCGAGGTGTCCCGCGGCCACCGCGCCCTCGGTTTGCGTCGGGTGCCCCTGGGTAACGTTCGGGCAGCGCTCGGGCTGGCGGCGGCGGCTGGGCGCGACGGGGGCCGGGGCCGGGCTGAGCCGGGGCCGGCCGGGGCCAGGGCGGGGGCCAGGGCCGGGGCCAGCGGGGCAGGGGCCAGGGCCGGCCTGGGCCGGAGCCAGGGCCGGGGGCCAGAAGGAAGGGCGCCGCGGCGCGCCCCTGGGCGGCGACCGGCCCGAGAGCGGCCGAGGCCCCGCCACCGTGGCCCGCGCGACGGCGGGGGCCCAGTGCGCTCGGAGGTCCTGCGCGGCCGCCGACGGGGGCCGCGGCGAACCGGAGGCGCAGGAGGAGCCCAGTGGAAGCCTTGCCGGTCTCGCAGCCGAGGAGAGGGGCGCGCTGCCGCGCCGCCGCCCAGGGCGGCGCGGCCAGACGTGGACCATGGGCGGGCGAAGGGCGGCATCGCAGGCCGCGCGCGCGCCGACGCGGCGAGGCGCGCGGGCTGGCGCTGGAGGCGGGGCGCAGGCGGCCCCCGCGGCGGGCGCAAGGCCCCGCGGCCTGCGACGCTCGGGCACTTCGGCGACTGCGTGAACAGATGGGCCCACAGACCACGCGCGCCGACGGTGCCCGACCTGGTTCGTTAAGCCAGGGGTGAATGCACGGGGGCCTTGGCGCAGTGGGCCACGGGCGAGGGCCCCCCCGTCGGGGGCGCGGGCGCGGCCGCGAGCGGCGGCGGGGGCAGGGGCCCCGCTCGCGCGCGGGCACGAGCGGCTACTCGAACAAGTCACCTACGCCGACGACAATGAGGCGATCGGCGAGGGGAACGAGGGCGACTGGCAATGCTCTTCACGGTCGTCTCGCGCGGCCTTTTCGGTTTCCCGGCGCAGTGGGCCGAGGCGCGGGGCGGCCTCGAGGTAGTTTGGATGGGTCTCCATTGCGACTACATCAAGCGCGCCATCGGCATCTCTGAGTCGAAGGCGGCTTGGGTAGCAGCCTGGTGCTAGGTGGCCGTCGAACGTGGCGCCATCTGCGTTGGCGAGCGGGCGTCGGGCATGGGGCGCCTCGGCTTCGCGGCGACGGTCCTTGCATGGGGGGGGGGGCTGGACGAGCGCGCGTCGCGTCCTGCCTGGCCCGCCAGCGTCGCAAGGCAGGACGAGAAGAGGGCACCCCTGCCGCTGGCGATCGGGCTCGCGCCGACGTGGATCGGTAAGTGATGGGCGAATAGACAAAGAATGGGGTCGCCCATCCTGTGCGCGCCCTGTTGCGCTCGAGGCGGAAAAGGCGTGGCGCGGGCCAGAGCAAGCGACCCAGCGGAGCCATCGTGGCGCTCGAGCTCCTCGGCGCGATCCTCCGCGCGCAGCTGTTCGCGACGCCGCGGGCGTCGCGAGAGGGCGAACCTCGAGGTGGCGAGGTCGACGGGCGCTTGCGCGGCGAACGGGACCACGTTGACTGAGTGGCCCTTGACAGCTCTCCTCGTCGAGCTTTCTGAGGAACCGAGGTCGTGCGAGATGGCACCGAGCCTTGATTGGCCACTGCGCGATCAGAACCAGGAGGCGGGCTATCTCGGCAACGCGCAGACGTCTGACTTCGACGAGCCCCTCAGCATCCACTCGGCGGCCGCGGACAGGAAGTGGCACGCGCTCGACGAGAGGGCGCGGGCCTCCCAGGGGCTCTGCAGGTCGATCGTCGGGGAGGGTGGCCGCCCGCGGCGGGGCGCGGCCGGGGGGTCCGCCGGCGCACGCAATTGACGCCGCGATGGCAGCATCGCCCAGCGCGTCGTGGACGACGCCACGCGAGCGGAGCTGGAGGTGGCGGCGGCGGCGCGCGGGGCCCCGCGCGATCTTTCCGGGCAGGGGCCCAGTGCGAGGCGCCCGAGGGGGGTCCGGACCTCCCCGCGCCGTGGGGGGGCCCCCTCCCAACTCCGCATTACCTCCTCGAGAATCCTGCGGCCACCTCGGTGGGCGAGGGTCGATCTGGAGGGAGTGGGGGCCGGGCCTGCGGGGGCCTCCAGGGGCTGGGAGAGGCCCTTGAGCCGCCATTCTGTGCTTCTTCGGCTTCAGTGCGGGTACGAGCGGCGCACAATGGAGACGGCGTTGTAAAATGGAGTAGGGCAGGGGCGAGTGGAAAGGCCGGCGTGTGTGTGTGTGTGTGTGTGTGTGTGTGTGTGTGTGTGTGTGTGTGTGTGTGTGTGTGTGTATCGGGGTAGGCCAGGAGGGGGGCCCGTCGCTGCTTGTTGCCCCCCCATGGGTGCCCGCCGGGGCTTTTGGGGGGTCCAAAGCTCCCGAGGCGGCCCGGGCACGCCCCGAAACAGGCCTCGCCAGGCTAAGGAAGTCCCGGGAGGGCCCAAGACGCCCCCAGGAGGCCCCGAAAGCGCCCACGATGCCTCAAGGCGGCCGACGACGACTCCAACACGCTCCAGGACGGACTCAAGAGGCTCCCCGAGAGGGCCCTGGGAAGCAAAACTCATTCGTTTTCCGAAGGGGTTTTGAAGGATTTTGGCGTTCTCGCTTTTCACGCTTTCAGCGCTCCCTCACGGCCTCGGGGGCCGTTCAGATTGCTCCAGGACGGCCCACGCGGCCCCGAAGAGGGCCCCCAGACGGCCCACGAGGCCCCCCAGACCACCCGAGTGTGCCCCAAAAGTGCCCCAAGAGGGGGCTCAGAGGGGGACCGCGAAACGATATTTCGAGGTCTCTGGCCCTAGAGGCCCCCAGTAGGGCCCCAGAGGCCACCAAGAGGCTCCCACGAAACCCCGTAAGGCCTTCACGGGGCCCCCATGGAACGCCCAAGAGGCCCCCCAACACACCCCAACAAATCATGTCCCTCGAAAGCCTTCGAGGGACATGGTTCATCATGTACCCGAGAGTGTCCGGAGGCTCCGAGCTACCATCGCGCTACCGGAGAGCTGTTTGGGAAGTTGCCCGGGAACGATTGATGGCCTTCTCGCGGCCCTCCGCGGATCGTTTCGCACAAAGTTGCCCCAAGTGCCCTCTTGAACCGACGACGACGATGACGACGACGACGATGACGACGACTACGACGACGAAACGACGAGGACGAGGACGAGGACGAGGACGAGGACGAGGACGAGGACGACGACGACGACGACGACGACGACGACGACGACGACGACAACGACGACGACGACGACGACGACGACGACGACGACGACGACGACGACGACGACGACGACGACGGCGCGCCCTCAGAGGCGACGACGACATTACGACGACGACGACGGCACTCCCCAACAGGCTTCCCAAGACGCCCTCAAAACCCATATTTCCAGAAGGCCTTTTAGAAACCCGATTCATCAGGCCTCCGCCCCCCTACGCAATCATCTTCCCCGAAAGCCTTCCGGAGTGCGGACTGACATCCATGGACTTACTGCCCATAATGCGTTCAGCATTATGGGCACTTCCCGTTCAAATCATCGTGGTCCATTGCTTCAGTGGAGCAGTGAACTCGTCAAGTCCTGGGGCCTGCTAGAACCTGAGCGCGCGCGAAGCGCGTGATGGTTCTAGTGCATATATATTATATATAAATGTGTGTGTATAGATCTGGGCCTGTATGTGTGTGTGTGTTTACACATATACATATATATACATACATATATAGAACAATGCCTATATTTACACGTGTTTCTAGACATGTATCGTAGTATCTCTCCTTTTTTTCCTCCTTCCATTTTTTTGCTTCTCTCTCTCTCTCTCTCTCTCTCCCTCCCCGGACATCCGATACCTTTGTTTGTTTCCACGCGTGGCCCCTGGGACCTCTGCCCCTTCCATGGACAGGTTTTCCACCGCGGATCGTTTCTGACGACCCCGGAGCCTGAGCTCGGCCTCCGGACGCAAACGCCGCACATGGGGCTGCTTTCTGTCAGTGTTTGCCCGTGTCTTCCAACGCTGGCCCGAGCCGCGCCCGCCCCGTGCAGGGCCGCCTGCGCTCCGCTTCGACCCGACTCGCTGGCTGGGGCCGCGATCGGGTTCGATTGGCTCTGCTGGCACCGCCCAGGGCCGGCCGGAGCCAGGCGCGGCGACCCGATTTCGACCTGATTCGAAGCGACTCGCCGGCGATCCGATGCTCTCCCGATCGGACTCAGCTTCTCAGTCTCGTTTTTCCGATCCCCGTCCCCACCCCCATCCCCTTCGAGACCCCCACCAAATTACCACCCCAGTTGGGGATACACCCCTCGAAACCCGAAGGGAACCGCCTATATCCCCATCTGGGGGGGTAAATCGGCCAGTGGGGCCCAGGCCACGCCGCTGGGGATGGGGGTCGGATAAACGATACTCAACTTCGCGACTCAATCCAGCTAAAGGATGCGGGCCCCGCGCCCGCCGCGCTCGCGTGAGCGCCGCCCCCTGGCCGCAGGGGGCGTCGGACATGATCCTGACCGACGACGACTTCTGCTCCATCGTCGCCGCTGTGGAGAAGGCCCCCGCGCGCCTTTTTTCGCAGGGGGGGGAACTTCGGGGCCGACGGGGGAGGTGGTGGTGGTGCAACGGTGGCATGGCAGTCAGTTCGTGCTCACAACTCTGCAAACTTGCGGGAAAACGCAACCAGGAGAAATGTATGACCTGGGTGCAAACTCACAAGTTGAATTCTAACCTTCAGGCCATGAGACGATAGTGAAGGACCATGGGGACGGCGCTTATGGCGCAATGCTCTGGCTGCTTCGCGATTCCTCTGAATCCGAGCCTTTTGCTCGTCTGAGAGCACTGGTGGTGGTGGTGGTGGTGGTGGTGGTGGTGGTGGTGGTGGTGGAGGGGAGAGAGGGGAGGACGGAGGGAGAAAAGCAGGGCCCTCCCCGGCCTCCTCGGGCTCGAAGGGCCCGAGCACGTCTTGGGCTGCCGCCTCCTCGGCGTCCCAGCCTGCCTCCTTGACGCCCTCTTCTGGGACGGGAGGCGGAGCACTCGCTGGGGATGTGGGGGCGGCGGCGGCAGCAGCGGGAGACAGGCGACGACGGAGGAGGTGGGGAGGGGGACTGCAAGCATAGCCATCTGCTCACTTCGGGGTCTCCTCTATCCCTCTTCTGGTTTCTCACAAAGTCGGGCGCTCGAACAGATTCCATACCTGGGTCCAGCCTGGCATACATATCCCTGAGGCCGCGTGTAGCTTCCCCTGGATCACACATCATTGGTAGGCTACTGTCATCAATGTTCCGCAATGAGTCTGAAATCGATCTAGCTACAGCGGCGGCCAGTCGGGTTGGGTACGTCTTCTTGGCATTTGTTTGATACAGCGACAGTCGGGAGTCTTGACTACACGTGTCATATGTACTTGTCTGCCATGGTGACATCTCCCTCCATTCCCCTGAGCAGTAATGTGTGTATGTAATGACGGCATGCGTATGGCAACTATCCGTGTCGGCGCACGTCCTACTTCTGCTGCAGGGAGTTCCTGAAATACGCACTGGTCAAAGTCCGTGGTAGACGAGATGAGGGAGGAAGACAATGCTCTGAGCGATCCCCCATGAAAGATGTGGGCGCTTGCTGTCTCCATACTGCCGGCTGTGGATGCTCCATCCATCCGCTCGTCCCTGCAGCGAGGTGCTTTCCTAGCCTTTGCACAAGCGCAAATAACAGTTTGTTGCCCGTCGCTAATTGTTCTTGTTGTGTTGTCGTGGCCCACGGTTCCCCCCCACATGTATTCGTTCGTGCGTAGTGGGGGGGGCCCTTCCTTCCAGCCAAGGCGCTGCACTCCATGTTTCAAATGGGCCCTCCCCCGTGCTCCAGACTCTGTGTGCTCTGATATGCCCCCCTCCACTCGTTTATGGTTTGCCTCCTAGTGAGATCCCCCTTCAACGTGTGTATGGCTATACACACGTTGAAGGGAGAGCCGAGGAGGTGGAGGAGGAGGAGGAGGAGGAAGAGCAGGAAGAGCAGGAAGAGGAGGAGGAGGAGGAGGAGGAGGAGGAGGAGGAGGAGGAGGAGGAAGACGAGAATCGAAAAACAAACAACTGGATAAACATAGTTGGTAGCCCGCCCCGCCCAAGAACGTGCGGTTTTCGCTATCGGATAGCTAGCGCCAATACATCGGCAATGTATCGCCGCGGGGCCCGACGGGCCAAACGGGCCCAAGGGCCGAGCATGCAATCGACTCGAAGGGCTCACGCCATTCCGTCGACCTCCAGAAAAAAGGGTGCGTGCGGCTTCCGATCTCGTATTTGCTGTATGCCGCTTCCCATCGTGCTGCCTGCGCGCACTTGTTGCTGATCTGTCACCTTCGTCCTCGTCTGTTGCGGGGCTTCTTGGGGTGCCTCTTGGAGGCCTCTGGGGCGGCCACGTGGGGGCTTTTTTCACGACTCCCGAGGGCCTCCTCTTGGGGGCACTTTGGGGGTTTGGGGGCCACTTTGCGGGGGAGGGCCCTTGCGAGCTCCCCCTCTTGGGGCGATCGTGAGGTCTCTTTTGGCCGTCTGTGGGGCCCCTGAACCGTCCTGCTTCGCTCTGGGGCCGGACAGCCACACGCCTCGCTCCAGGCAGGCGGGGGGGGAGGGGTCGGCGAGCCTGTTGCAAGCATGCTCGGAGGACCGACCGCTCCGAGGCGCGGATGGGGGGGCCCCGCCCACCCGTCGGGCCCCGACCGCGGCCGTTGCCGCTCGCCCGGCGCACCTCTCTCTCTCGCGCTCGCGCGCAGGGGCGCGTCATCTACTCGGGCATCCAGAAGTTCGTGGCCTTTATCATGTCGGTGCACATCGCGGAGGCGCCGGGCGATCCGAACGAGGGTCCGCGCACGGCAGGCTCGCGCAGTGTCGCAGTGGCGGCGACCCCGGCGCGGGCGTTCAAGGTTGAGCGCCGCCAGTGGGCCGGAATCGGCCGATGTCGAATGGTCTTGCGCTATCGGAAGGTCGCGATCGTTCAAGGTTGAACGGTCCACGCGGCGTCAGAGACCAACGCCTGCGTCGTCACGACACCACCCGCTCTCCGCCGCCCCCCCCGTCCTGGGAGGCTGGATTCAGCATCGGCTCTGGCGCATCCCTGGTCGAACTCAAGCCTCACGTATCCGATGTTATTCCGTTACATCTGGCTTATTATCCTAATAGTGCTTGCACTTCGGGGTTCTTATGTCTGGTCTTAGAAACTGGGCGACGGCCTAGCGGCCAAGTTGACGCCGTCGCCGCCCCGTCGCCATTTCGTCGCCGCCCGTCGTTTGGGCTTGGGTGGCGGTGTGGCGGCTATGTTGCCGCCGTCGCCGCCTCGTCGCCGCCCGTCGTCTTGGCCTGGGTGGCGGTCTGGCGGCTATGATGCCGCCGTCGTCGCCCCGTCGCCGCTTCGTCGCCGCCCGTCGTCTGGGCTTGGCTGGCAGTGTGGCGGATATGTTGCCGCCGTCGCCGAAAGTCGTCGCCTGGTCGCCGCCCGTCGTCTGGGCCTGGCTGGCGGTGTGGCGGCATAGATTGTACCATGTGGACTGGACAACATTGATTCTCCTTTCTTAAGACAGAATAGACTGCCCCCCCCGGATTATACGTTCACCGCTTCGCATTGCAATTTACATATGATTCTGCCCCATTGTCCATCTTTAGTATGAGTTCGTACTATCTCAGCCGAGCCGGTATCCGCCCCCCCGCCATCCCCTGCAAGACAATACTACGCGCGCTTTGGTTTATCAAAAATCATCAGTTTCCAAAAATCCCTCGCAACAAATGGGTCGAAGTGCGCACGCGCTCGTCGTCGCGCGCATGCTGATCGAGTGTCAACAAAAACACGTAAGCAACAACTGGTCTCGCAACACGGATTTTCAAAAGAAAAAAACCTTGTGCGCGTTCTTGCGATCCCAAAAAAGACCATCTGCGGAATGGCGAAGCCCCTTGGATTCCTTTCCTTGAGCCAAACAGTTTCAGTCTACATAATCTCGGCTTGCATCTCGTGAAGCCCTGCAGCCCTCCTCGAGACCGCTGTGCATACTAGCGGACTCGTCAGTCCGACCAGCTCAAGTTACACAGTACTCCGCCGAAACCTCCGCGGCTCCGTCAACTAAACAGAAACAGCTATGGCAAATGAAACCTCTCACTCACGTACGTTGTCGGGCCCATCTCTCGCATTAGCACCATGTTTCATTCGCGAAACGACCTCGGGAGCTGATCAGACTCCGTCGTATACTTCCGAACAAGCCAGCATCGCTCAATACAAACGGTATCTCGTACTGGTTGTCCAGGGTGTGTGCAACATGGTCAATGCCAAGCTCCCCGCTCCTGAGCACTTAGCTGCGTATAACGCCCGTCGGCTGCAGAATGTAGCTTGCTCCTGCTCTTGTATGTCACTGGCCCCTGCACCGCAACGGACCTCCTCCTCTTGACGTGCTGCACCTCCGACTGTGGCGACCCGTCCTCGCGATGCCTTCTCGACGGTGATCCTTCATTCGACCCAATTGGACCAGAATTCGTCTCCTGGCCATCGTACCTCGGGTCCTGAGATCCATACTTCGGGTCCTGAGGTCCATGCCCACAACCCGCTGCTTCATGCACTGGTCGAAATGGTGTGTCCAGCATCCCTGTCCTGATATCCGCGCCTACAACTCCTTTGTCCTTCACCACGAACATGTAGTAGCTGAATGCCGCTGCCATTACCATGACCACCAGGTGCGTCAGGCAACTCCACCAACTGAAGTCATTCGTCATACTGACCTTGATGTTAACGCCGTCTTCGTAGTAATGCTCCGTCGCCTCGGTCATGGGGATTGCCAACATGAGCGCCAGCACTTTTGTCAACACCTCTGGCTCCTCAAAGCTTGTCATCGCCATCGTGATCAGTCCCAACGTCTTCATATGGCTCTTGAGCGTCTCCTTGTCCATCGGTTTGGTACCTATGTTCGCCACCCGGTCCTTCGTATTCACCTTGCCCACCTCCATGTCGCCATCACAAATTAAGTCCTGATATCATATCCACCTTGTCTGTAAATGTTGTACTCGTCCGACTCCGTGTCTGTGAATCATACCTTTCGCCGTTGTTGAGTCCGTCTCCACCTCCAGGGTGATTTTGATGTGTTCGCTCCTCATCTCAGCTATCTCCTGCAACACGTGCTTGATGGTGAGTCCCCTGGAAGGTGCCTGACCCCATCACGTAGAACTCCGACTCTCCACTCGATAACGCCACCGTCGCTTGCGATAGAACCGACTTCTCCAGTAAATGAGATCCCAAGCGAATGCCTCCTGATGAAATGCTCGTACACGTCGCCTCCTGTCCTGCCCAGTCTGCATCGACCGACACCTTCACCTTGAATGTCTCGTCCTGGTATGGGAAGTAGATCACGATGTCCGCCGTCCCCTTCAAGAATCAGACCAGGCGCTTCTGCTTCAGGATGTGCTTCACCCGTGGGTCGTTATACGAGCAGCTTTGCTTTCGAATTGCTTCCTGAATATCCCATCGATCTCCAGCTCGGTACTGAGCAATACCACCGCAACTGCAGTAGACCATCGAACTCTGCCGCGTCACTGGATCCTCTGCTTCTCGAACTCCCTTTGCTGTGTGCTTCGAGCTCGGCGTCTCGGCCGGCTTTGCCTGCCTCAGATCATAAAATTCCACCATATTCAATTTCAGCGTTAGGTCTGGTAGAATGCCGAAGCCCTCCTCGCCCCAAAGAACCGTCCTGTTGAAAAAGGTTTCCTCAGGTGCTCCTCCGTCCCACTCGAGGCTGAGGTTTGACCTTGAAACGACTCGCCATGATATCGTCAAAAGCGTCCATTTCATCATCGCATACCTCCACAGCGAAATCATCCCCATGTCCTACACGGAGCGAGTCAATACCTGGACAGTAGTACAGGCAGCACACCGTCTTCAACTCCTGATACCCATGCTGGCTGGAATTGTCTCGAGCTTCTCCTTGAACTAGTATTGATGCCTCTGGTGTGCCGTACATCGCCGTCTGCAGCTTGCAGAGCTTTCTTGGTCGTCTTTGTGCTGGTGGTGGCCAACAGTACCGGGGCTCCTTCAGCGACGCATGACAGAACGCCATTGAGACGTCGTATAGCCCAAGCTTCTTCCTCCTCTTTTCCTTGGGCCTTGTCGAAGCTACCCGTGAAACCACCAACTTAACTGTCCACAGTGCGGGTGTCCTTGCGAAGTTCGAGGGGTTTGTTCCATCGCTATACCTCTGAACACAACGGCTCCTCACGATCCACTCGGTGTTCTGCAGATCGTACTTCTTGCTATCGATCCACTTGGTGTCGAACGGCTTCATCCAGTCCTCAGGCGGTAACCTTTCGAAGACCTCAAACTCTTCCATACTCTGCATCTCCATGGTCCTGCCGTTGCTCACCAGGTCCCTTGGCATTTCTTCTCCTGTGCACGCGGCCCTGTAGACTCCGTCTCCTACCAGCTTGTCGTAACTCACCCTCGGCTCGACCTCTTCGCACACATGTCGGTCCTCTTCCTTGGTGGTCGTCATAAGGATACCGACCTCCATCACCTCGTCCCATCTGGGTGTCAATGGGGCCACGTCTCCGCCTGCTACTATCGCGTTGCCTGTCATCTCCACATCATGATCAATGGATTCTCCTGGTCCAAAGTGATGTCCCACCGGTGTGCCTGGTGCTCGCTGTCCTGCTTCCGCCAGTCGTGGTTCTTGGACTCGACCTGCTGCTGGTGGTGCTGCTGCGTGTCCTTCTGATCGTGCTGCGCCCAAACCTCGTCCTGCGCCTCACGTTATTGCCAAGTTCCCTTCGAGCCGCACACCCATCTGTCGGCCCATGCACCTCGATCAAAACCTTCGTGCAACTTCATGGTGGCCCTTCACCTCCAGTCTTCTGGGATTCCACGGCGCGCCAATGAATGTGTGAAAGTGCGCCAGTGGATCTCCCTGAATACACTAAACGGGGGGGGGGGGGGGGGGCAGAACCCCCCTCCCCCCCCTCCCCCCCTTCAAGGTGGGGGGGGGGTTCCAGAACCCCCCCCCCCTTCCCCCCTTGAGGGCGGGGGGGGGTCCGAACCCTCCCTCCCCCCCCCCTTTGTGCCGGAAAGGGAGCCGGGGAGGGGGGGCCTCTCTCGCTTCTCCTTTCCGCGCCGGAGAAGGTGTGTAGGGAGTGCGGAGCTGGGAGTAGGGAGTGGTGAGTAGTGAATGGTGAGTTAGTGCGTAGTGAGTAGTGAGTATTGGGTAGTGAGTAGTGGGTGGTGAGTGGCGAGTAGGGAGTAGGGAGTAGGGAGTGGAGCGTAGTGAGTAGTGAATAATAAGTAGTGTGTACTGATACAGTAAGTGAGTAGTGAGTGGCGAGTAGTGAGTAGTGAGTAGTGAGTATCGAGTAGCGAGTAGTGAGTACTGAGTAGGGAGTAGGGAGTAATGAGTAGTGGGTAGTGAGTAGTGGGTAGTGAGTAGTGGGTGGCGAGTCGTGATTAGTGAGTAGTGAGTAGTGCGTAGTGCGTAGTGCGTAGTGAGTAGTGAGTAGTGAGTAGTGAGTAGTGAGTAGTGAGTAGCGACTAGTGAGTAGTGAATAGTGAGTAGTGAGTAGTGAGTACTGAGTAGTACGTAGTGCGTAGCGAGTAGTGCGTAGTGAGTAGTGAGTAGTGATGAATAGAGAGTAGTGGGTAGTGGCAGTGGGTAGTGAGTAGTGAGTAGTGAGTAGCGAGTAGGGAGTAGCGAGTAGTGAGTAGTGAGGAGCGAGTAGGGCGTAGTGAGTAGTGAGTAGAGAGTAGTCAGTAGTGAGTAGTGGGTAGTGATTAGTGAGTAACGAGTAGGCAGTAGCGAGTAGTGAGTAGGGAGTAGGGAGTGGG